TGAAATCATACCTTCTTTAATTCTCTCTTCCGGGCTTCTTTTCCTTTAGAGAGGGAAAGAGAGAGAGAATATAAAACTGTCAAATCTTGAATGTTAACATTTTCTACAATTTAATACAGATAATTTTTTATTGTGGGAGGCTGCTCTGTGTACACTGTAGGATATTTAGCAGCATCCCTGGCCTCTACCCACTAGATGCCAATAGCATCCTTCTAATTACGTCAACTAAAAATGTCTCAAGATATTTTTAAGTTTCTTAAAAATAACTATGAATCTGAAGGAAAAAGATTCCATAAAATACTAAATAAGAGCATGCAAAAACAATTTGTTCAAAATTCCAAATACAAAAAGAAAGATTTAAGCCAAGTCAATCAAATTAGAAATATGGGTACTAATTTTTTTTGTATGTTTAAAGTTTTAATCATGTGCCCACAAGAACACTAGATAACTTTATACAACTGACACCTCCTAGCACTGCTGATCCTGTAATTAAGACATAATGAAACAGACTCCTTAAAGTGTGTGATTTTTACCACTCCTCTTCTTCATCATTCCACAATAATGGACACTTACGGGCTTGGTCTGTGGGGTTCATAAATTTTCCACTCTTGGTGGATGACGTAGATCTCCGTCCCATGTTGACAATCTGTATGGTTTACTTGTTCATTAAAAAAAAAATACCTGTGAAGACAAAGAAATAGCTTATTTTTCCTATATTTACAAAATTTCTTCCTACCAATCTTTGAAAAGAAACATTCTTTTGATTATAAAGACCTTGCTCTTTCCCTAGTTTTGACTTTAGTGTCCAGGAAAGATGACCTCAACCTTCTTGACCATGAAAAATTAGATTTGTTATTATTTATAAAAGTAATGGTTCTGAAGATTACTTTGAATATCACTAAGTCATCGATTTAATTTTCTTCTATGGATGACAACTTTGACTCATCAATTGAAACAAATCATCAGAAAATGCTTCAACAATACGACAAAAACCATGATGAGAGGCCACTAGTCCTTTTCCTACATCCTCCCTTTATTCATATGCAGCGTGCAAGAGGAATAAAAAGGGAATGGAGTAATGATCTGGACTCAATGACAAACAGCTCACCCTCGCCTCTCTGCACGGTTTTTCTTGGCATGTACTCCCAACACCTCTAAGGCAGTAAAAACCTCATTAATTTAAGCCTATTTAATTCAGATTTAGATTTAATTCAGATCTAATTCTTGACTCTCCAGTGGGAGCTTAAAACATAAAAATGCCAATATTCGAAATGAACGTACTATATGAGAACTTCCAAAAACGTCAACATTAAGACATATATTTTTCTTAACTAGTACCTATTTGCCTCTTGATTTGTATTTTTTAAGGTAACTGAAAGGAATAATTGTGTTTAAGGGAAAATATCTGGTGAGTCAAAATTTTTATTAACCTAAGACACTTATATCATTTCTTCCTGTTATTCCAAATGAACGAGGTTTAACTTTTGACATTCTTTCCAATAATAAAGATTGACAAATTTTCTTCCTTTTAAAAGTAGACACTTTTAAGGAATAGGAAAGGGAAGATGACGAGGTAAATTTTTTAGTAGATCTTACAATTATACCTTCCCTTCTTCCCTTTATGGAGACTGTCAGGCAAATTTATTAGATAATGCCTCTTTCAGCAAATGTTCAATTGCCTTGATTTCTGCTAAATGCTTCAAAGGTGTTCCAGTGGCAACTAACTTATACCCCCGTCAAGGGTTTCCTTCTAGGAAAAACGGAGTGGGGGAGAAGGAAGGCGGAAACAAGCAAAATTAGTACAAATACAAGCTCTCCTATCTTTGATGGCCTGTAGCGCTTTTGCCTTCCTCTCTCAATGACCCTTACGCTCATGTTCTGACTCTCCTCTCCCACAACGGAAACACACAACAGATACGAACTGCAGAGAATTTTTACAGAAGGCATTGGCGCCTCAGTCTGCACAAATCATTTTTTTGTCTAAAAGCAGAGGGAATAGGGAAATCAGGCCACAAAACCCTGGGGGAACCCTAAACAGCCATAGAGGCTCCAATGGGACGGAGCCCAGGTCCACCAGAAGAGGCAACAGCAGCAACAACTGCCGAAACCATAGCGACGGTTGACCGCGACTCGATGTCCAGACAGCAAACCCAAGGCAACCGGTCAACGTGCACAGACAGGAGGCGGGGCTAACCGACCAGGCTGAAGTCAGCTACTAAACCGCTGGACGCTGCGCCGCCCCCGGCTCGAGGATCCCACAGTTCGCGATCAGGAACCCCAACCGCGGAGAGGAAAAGCGGGGCAGAGGGGCCTGGTGTCCCAGGCAACCGCGCGGGCCCCGGAAAGGGGCGGGAAAGATGAAGGAGCAGAGTGGAACAATCTTGCACACTCACAGTTCTGCTGGGCTCCCGGGACTGCGAGAAGCGGGGCGGGGACGATTCTCGGCCTCTTTTACTTCGCAAGGGCCTTCACCTCTGCCTCCCGGTCAGCCATTGAGCCACCGCCATCTTGAAACCTCGCGCCCCTCCGCCATCCTTACGTCACTTCCTATCCCTACGGGCCGAGGATCCCAGCGTTTCTCCGCCCTGGAACCATAGAGAGTAACCAAGAACTCCAGGGCCAGAGTCTCTTCCGCTCCAATACGCTACCGAATTGGTTGGTTATCGGCTAAGGGCCCGCCCTCGCCACGCAGTACGACTCATTCGTGTCGATTGACACTTCTCTAGGTCAATAGAAATAAGAAAAAGGCAGCGGCTCTGATATATGATTGGCTGGTGAGAAGACTGCCCCGCCTCTCGGCCCGGAGGCATTCTGACCTCATGTCCGGGAGTTCGAGTTATTGCGCCGCCCGATACCGGCTGAATGAAGATAGGGAGGTGTTTTGCCCTGTTTCTGTGTCCTGGAATTGTGTTAGTTTTTGAATTTTCTTTTTTTCATGACGTAAGCGAGTGAGATCTTTGGGGAGCGTCTGTTCGAAAACGAATCCCCAACTAACACTTGCTACTGTGTTTGATGCGCTTTGCTAGCGTCAGGTCTGTCTGGAAGCGCAGTATGTAGTTGTTTATAGACACGCAGAACATTTGTACGCCCGAGCAAATCAGTGTCCGTATTAAGAGTCCCAGATTGCTAATCTAGAGGATTAGTCTTTTGAAGATGAAGTGTGGGGGTACATGTGCAGTAGGGTTTAAATTTACAATGGGGAAGTTGATTTACATTGGCTCTTTTCCCTTCTGGTCTTTTCACCAGCCCAAAGTCCTTTATGATGTCACTAAACATAGAGAATTATCCCTTAGCTCGAGTCTTCGTTCTCTCTCTGTCTTCTATCCGTTCTTAGTCTCTAAGACTCCTATCTTTTCCCCTTAAAGGTAAGTTTAAACATTTAACAATTCTGTTCTTAAAGGACGTGCTTGTTTATTTTTGCTCTTATCTGAATATCCCTTATAGGAAAATATGTTAGATACAGACCGATTCTTACTATCAATATAAAAATTCCAAAATATTGTTGAGATACATATTAACTTTTAGCATAATATGTAAATGTACATATGATATTGGTCCCTTGCCTGAACTAAGCCTTGTCTTAGAAAATTCTTGATTTGGTTTTAGACTGCATTTTGAGTTCCAGAAAGAGCAATAACAGGGTCTTGTAGTTTAAAGCTTATAAATCAGATGATAAACAAAAAAGAAAATAAGATTTAATTTTGAAGGTGAATTATATTGTGATGTTTTGCAACTAATTTAAAAAAGCAATGACAGAAGAGAAAGAAAATGAGTACATTTGAAAAATTAAAGTATTTCATCTAGCTTTTTAATTTTTGAGATAGGCTGAGGTTTTTAAATTTCAAGACATTTCTTGAACTTGGATGCAAAGATTAGTTATAGCGAACACATTCTTGCATCAACATCTTATTAATAATTTTGTAAGTGGAACCTAAGAGTCTTGGGGGAGTTATTAGTTGGTGAAGGATTTAGAGAACAGACATTTGCATCTTCAGAAATTCAACTGAACCATTAGGGCTCCATAGCCTCTGGATTTTTCTGAAATTAGGTAATTAGTGAAATAGGCCACTTAAAGCTTTGTATAGCAAGGGCAACTTCCTTCCTGCTAGTGTTAAAAATGAAATATCTTCTTCCTGAAAACTCATAAGGTGATAAATTATAACTTTCCTCTAAATGACAAATCCTTAAAAGAGTAACTACTTCGTCTCCTGCATCCTGAGTGCATTTTGTGCATATATAGCTGGGATTTGTTTGTTTGTTTATTTTTATTTTTTTGGTTGAGGGAGATTGTCACTGAGCTAATATCGGTGCCCATCTTTCTCTTTTTGCTTAAGGAAGACTGTCACTGAGCTAACCTCCGTCAGTCTTCCTCTAGTTTGTATGTGGGATGCTGCCACAGCATGGCTTGATGAGCGGTATGTAGGTCTGTGCCCAGGATCTCAACCTGTGAACCCCAGGCTCCCGAAGCGGAGCACGCAAACTTAACCACTACACCACCCGGCCCGCCCCTCCCTGTTTGGTTGTTAAATGTTCCAGAGTGTTCAAACTTTCACTTAAGGAATATTTAATCATCACACCACAGTTGGTCAGGGTTGATTGCAATTATAGAAACAGAACCGTTATCTTTTTAGTTTCAACTTTTATCTTTTAAAAATCTGTCCAGATTATAGTGTGTAATTAGTGGTTTACAGAACCATTGCCTCCTTTCATCATTGAAGTAAATTGTTACAAACCATATTTCAGTCTCTTCCAGTTTACAGAAAATTTGACTTAAACTGATGGTCAAAATTATGGTAGTATTTCTATCCCATTCGAAGACCCAGAGTTTGTGTCCAGGCAGAAGTTACTAAGTATGTCCCTTTATACGTACATGATGTCCAAAGGTGGTGGGAGAAATGAAAGTCTCTGCATTCAATGTAAATTTTAAGGATTTTGACTGGGAGTTAGAAAAGGAGAAGTTAACCCCTACACCTACTGCTCTCCAGTAGCATTCACAGTTATATTGATCTGGTAGAACAGAGTGAGAAGACTTCCTGGAATATAATCTTTTACCTCAGGGTCTAGCACCAACCTATCCAGGCATTCATTGTTACTGGAAAACTCTAGAGTCATCTAGTTTTAGCATCTCTAATTCCTCTTTCCAAGTTGTTTACTGTATTTATGCCTATGTTGGAAGCTTATGGAAAATGAACCTACTCAAAGAAGCAAAACTATTATTGAGAAAGAAGGAGAAAAGTATTCCAGTGGCAAATAAAGTGGCTGTTTATTTCATTTGATGTTTCACTGTGTTGGTGACCTCAGTAATGGCTTGATGATATTTTTCTGAGGCTGACTTGAATTCCACCAGATGCTTCTCATAACTTTTGATGGCCGCTTGAAGCTGCGTTTTCTCCACTGCTCCCAGGATGGCACGGATGATCATGTCTATGCCAAGGCCAAGAACAGCAACTCCTATACTGCCAAGGAGAGAAGCACCAATTTGAGCTAATACCGTGACCAACTTGTTAATTATGCCAGTTGTGACATTTGAGCCCACAAGTTTGACAGCCACTGCACTGGCTGCAGAAGTGGCTTCTCCCAGGATGACTGAAATAACCTTTTGTACTATTGCAATTTTCTCTGTTTCCCTTTCCTTAATATCCTGAAGTTTTCTGTAGAGAGTTGGCTCTAGTTTATCTTTTAGTGCTTCATCAACCTTTTGCAGTTCCTTTTGGATTTTCATCATGGCTTGAATGATGATATCGCAGTTTTCTTTGATGGTCCCATCTCTTTTCATCTCAATGGCGGCCAGGCTGCACGCCAAGTGCGTGTTTAAAACCCCAGTCAGCTTGTTGGTGGCATGGAAGCTGTCAGATAAGCAGTCAAGGAGCTGCTGGTGCAGACGGTTTACTTCTTGCCGCCTCCTTGGGTTATCTGGGTAGAGGAAATCACTCTGAGCCATATTTGAAATACAATCTCTGAAAAAGAAAATAGTAAATCTCTGCTAAAAATCTTGAAAAATATCTGCTGTCTGCATAGATTTGACCAGGAAATCTTTTACTTTGTGAATAGCAAAGTAGCAATATGCTATCTAAGGAATTCCTCAGAAAACTCAACAGGTTCTTCAAAACAGTTGTTTTTCTGAAACTTGGAGTCAGTGTATGGAAATGTGGGTAACAGAATACAACCTATTGATGCATTAATTAAGGCATTAGGTTTTGTGGTGGTGGTAATCCTAGATAGGAAATATTTGTGTTTATCAAGCATCTGTTAATAAACATGGTTATTTCCAAATAATATTTAATAACGTATTTGAAACAGACCTCACTTTGAAATGGTTAGCTCTTGATAACCAGTGCACCTTAAGTTCCTCAACCCTTAGTTACCACATTGAATAGACCCACCAGATTGATTTCTCTAATATTTGGAGTTAAATTAGAAGGGCCAAAAGAATATTAAGATCTCTGGGTTACAGGGCTATTCATATCTAACTTTGTTTATATACTCTGTTATCTTAATTTACAATATTCAAATCACTTTATATATCTTTACAGGCAAATTATTCTCTGAACCTAAGGCACATCCAAAGCAACACACCTGTAACATTAGAATCTACAAAAAGTCGTCGTGATAAGAGTATATATTCAAGATTCTTTAGATTAAAATCTCACTTGGGGAGAAAGTGGGCATGGTACAGGGGACAGTGCAGTTATCACTGTCTCTCTGACTCTCCATTTGCAAAGTTTATAAATTAAATTCTTTAGAATGGTCTATATTGCACTTGGCCATTATTAAGATAAGTTAGAGTTAGCCTGAGAAAGAAGATAATGCCATTTCACAAAAGCATTAAGGAATAAGCAAGAATACACCAAAGAATGAATAAAATAAGCCTGGTAGGAGCCTTCTTGTATTTGTACTTCTGCCTCAGAGTACCATGCAGAGAAAAAAGGAATGAGCATGTTCTTCTGAGTTTATTTGGCTGAAAGTTTGAGCCAAGTAAGAACAATGTTATTCAATGTGCATACTTGGAGTAGACTTACTATATGCCTGGCACTTCTATTTTTCGTTTAAACTCTTGGAAGAAAATAAAGAGAAAATGGAGTCCTCTTTATCTCTGTGGGATCTGGCACATTCTCTCTTTGAGCAGACAACATCCTGATTAATTTGGGCTCTGTCTATTCTAGGACCATGTTCTTAGCCTAGATATGGGGAATCTCAGAAGCATGGGATGAAGGAATGAAGATGTTTTTCTCTTAAGAAAGTAAACATGAAAATAACTTATCCTCCAAGTCATAGGGATATAATTTGGAAATGGAAAGGGGAAATTTTTTAAAAAATGGATTAGGAACATAATCCTTTATGTTGTTAAATTTAGAAAAATGTGTTGGTACTTCTGGTAGAATAAACTTTATCTTGGTCAGACATTCATTTTTATCCTTGATTCAGATCCTGCATACACACACACACACACACACACACACACACACACACACACGCATATGAGCACGACTGACACGCATTTCCACAAAACAGTACTTAGAAAATATCTCAATTCCATTTAAAGAAATTGTTTGTTTAGGATCTATTAAATAGTCCCTAAACTCACCATTCAGTTGCAAACCACAATTGGATAACCACAAATCTGGACTTTGGTTTTTCTTTCTTCTTCTAGGAATTTTCCATTAAACTTTTTTCTTTTGTTTTGGCTCCTAGTTTTCAAATCTTTTCATGAAGTGAAAATTCCAGTTTCTGACTTTGAATTCAGAAGATCACCAGCTACACCCCTATTCAGATATTTAGGTGAGAGGAGTCTTTCTTACCCTGAAAAAGTGGAAAATGTCTCTAGCAGCTATCATATGCCATTATCTGAAGGCATAGCTTCCAGAAAAGGTATGTGGTTCCATTACCTCCAGATAAACAAATGGAGAGATGGACCTTCCTCCTGGACGGGAGGTTGAATGCTTCGAAGTGGTCATTTCCTTCTCAGTTAATTTATTGTTTTAACACAACTTTACAAATTAATCCTAAAATGTATCTGAAAGGCTGAATAGGTGAGGCTACTTTTTTTTTCTGGAAAAGCAATGATGGGACTTTTTTCTCCCCAAATATTAACACACCGTAAAAACACAATATTAACCAGTATTGTACAAGTGCAAGAGTAGATTAATTAAAAATGTTAGTGTAGGGGGCCGGCCCGGTGGCGCAAGTGATTAAGTGCGCGGGCTCCGCTTCAGCGGCCCGAGGGTTCTCCTGATTGGATCCTGGGCGCGCACCGACGCACTGCTTGGCAAGCCATGCTGTGGCAGCGTCCCATATAAAGTGGAGGAAGATGGGCATGGATGTTAGCCCAGGGCCAGTCTTCCTCAGCAAAAAGAGGAGGATTGGCAGATGTTAGCACAGGGCTGATCTCCTCACACACACACACAAAAAGAATGTTAGTGTAATATATGTAAAAAAATCAAATGACAAACTAGCTAGAAGAATGTGGATAATTTTCAAATGTCTGTATGGAGGAGGACTTTATAAGCTTAAAACCAATGGAAAAAAATCACAAAAATTTGGCTAACAAAGATGATCATGTCTAAAGAACTGAAAGCAAACTGGGGAAAATGCAAGAAAAATGAAAAAGTATTAATTTCTATAAAGACTTGTTAATAAGGAAAACAGTAATAATCTAATAGCTAAATGAGCAAACAGCTATGAACATAGAGTAAAAAAAAAATAATAGCTAATTAATTGATGAGAAAAGCTCAATCTTACTGGAAATCAAAGACAACTTTTTCAACTACAAAAATAATATTTTCTCTCCTTTACATATATGTGCCTTGCACGTGCAATTTTATACCCTTCTTCCTAGGATCCAGATATCCATAATTTTGTGCCAATAACAAGTTTGAGTAAGACATGTTATGATTTGCTGAGAATTATTTTTTGCATCTAATGAAAAAGGACTTTAATTTTTTTGAGTCAGGCTTACCTTCCTAGTTCCTTTTTCTTTGAGGAAGGGCCTTGGGAGGGTTCCTTATGCAAATAGATCTTCAGCAGGCCTGCCACCGTACCTGCTCCAGTACTGAGTACAGTTCAAGATTATTTCCATCCCAACAGTGAGATAAATGCTAGAGAATTAGGTGGAGGAGAGGTGGGGTTTGAAGGTGAAACCAATGAATTATGTTTTGGACAGGTGAAATTTGAAGAGCCTGGTGAAGGAAGCAGTTTAATAATTCAGTAGCAATTTACCTAATGGAGTAGTGCTTTACTATGTATGAGGTAGTATGCTATGCTCTGTAGAGCATACCAAAAATGAAAAAAGACATGATCCTTGCTTTCCTGGAATTTCTAAGCTAGTTAGGAAGTTAAGACATTTAAAACTACAATGTCAAGTTGAAAGTAATATGTCGTACAAAATTAGAGGTAGTGCTTGATTTGTGCAAATTCAAATTTTAAAGAGCCCACACTTTATGTATATTGACACGGGAGCCATATGGAGACATTTGATCATCTAAGCAAGGTTAGCAATGTATACACTTTCAAATATGTGCTTGATATTTAGAGGAGAGTATATACCACATGGAAAACCGTAGTTGGCACCCTGCAGAGTTTCCACTATTGCCCATGACAATTTAATTCTGACTCTCACATTGCTTACTTCGCTCAGTGAGACAAAAGCCTTGCAATTAATTGGAGTCACATTTCTTAAAGATCAAGTTGTTACTTAGGCATGCCTCCAGTGATGTGTAAACCATATATAGTACGTACCTGAGAGGAGTTCTGGGCCTTATACTTTTCCCTATCTTATTAAATTTTCAAGGATGACCTTTTAAATATTGACTTTAAAATTCAATCTTTTAAAAATCATTTTAAAGTCATTTGAAAAATGACTTTTAAAGATTGGTATCGACAGGTAGCTAAGTAGTGTACTTAACCCAGCTCTGATTACCTGCACCTTTTGTATGGTAAATGTGAGCTTTTACAATATTTGTTATCACGTGATAGTGCTCTCTGTCAGTGAAAAAATCACTTTGAGCAGTTACTATCCACTTCTGTATAGCAGAGTTTGGGCTGTTAGTTGAATATTTTATTGTAATGTTTCATGAAATAGGTTCTGTAGAACCTGGGCAGCCTGATGGGGCGTTGGTAGCCAGCAGGAGGAGCTCTTGGTCTCTGGCACGCCTGTTTCAGCCCAGCCTTGGCTGAGGCAGCTGTGCTCTCTTGTGTTGCTGTATTTGGGCTGTGGGTGGGTAAAATTTTGTTTGATGAGCGAGTTCTCTTGCTAAAACGAAGTTTGGAAATCACACATATTTTGACTTGTTATTTCATAAAAAAGGAAGTAAACAAATCTGGAAGTGTTGGTGCCAGTGATCAGCATGGCTTAGGAAATGGGAGTGGAAACAAAGACTGGCTTCAGATGGATTCTTATTGAACCTGACCTCACCAGTTTGTTGAATTGAGAAGCAAACATTCAAGGTTAAAGCGCATATAAGAAATGGTAGAAATATGTTGCTGATAGTATCTAAAAGTTAAGGTTTATTTAGTAATACTATACAGTCGTTTTAGTTTTTCAGGAAAGGACCACCTTACAAAATGAAAGTGTATTGATTATTACATACTCAAATAAAAAATTCTCGGGATACTTTCGTGAATAACGGTAGTGAATTGACTCTCAGGTGGCATAGGAATTTAAAGAGAGAAATTAATATTGAAGTGATTAGAGGAAGTTTCATGAAGAAAGTGATGTGATTATGTGCTTTGATAAATGGTAGAATTATAACATGAAGAAATTAAAAGTAAAAGATTTGGCAAAACAAAGTATTTTAAAATATAAAGTCAATAGCACTAATGTATAAACACATTAAAATAGAGGAGGAAAAACACCCATAAACCTACCATCTTGTTTTGTTATTCCTTTTTAAAGTTTGCTTAAATGCATAAGTATTTTTACAAAGTTGTAATAGTGTAAATAACATTTTCATATTATATTAATTTACTTAAACATTTTCTCATATTTCTATTTTTGTAATCATTTTATTGGTTATATAAAATATTCCTTAAGATATCCTTACCATAATTTAATAAATTTCCAATTGTTTCACTATCATAATATTCTGATGAGCATTTTAATACACATACCTTTTTTTTCCCTCTTGGATTATCTGTATTATTTCCTCAGGATAAATTTCCAGAAGAATTATATAATCAATAGGAATTAAACTTTTATTACTTTTGATATGTATTGCAAATTGCATCCCAAAAACTTTTACACTGTCACCAAAAATAATTTTTTACACCAGGACACTGGGTGTGTGTCAAAGTCAAAGATGGTTCTGTTAAATGTTGTTAATTTGGGGGGCATAGAATTAAACTTCAACAAGAAGAGTTCTTGCCTTCTGAAATACATACTGAAAACATTAAGGATGAAATAACAGTCTCTGAGATTTGCTTCCAAAATCTGGAAGGGAGAGTGGAGTAGGTTATAGAGGAACTATGATTGACTTTGTTTTGATAATTTTTGAAGCTAGGTTATGGGTATGTGGGAGTTTATTATTGTCTTCACTTCTGTGTATGTTTGAACTTTTCCTATAATAACAATTAAAAAAGGGAAGAAAGATAAAACCGAGGAACCTAAGCCTCTGATGTTTAGTCATCAGTGCTCTCTGAGGTTTTCTGTTTCTCCCTGCTGTCACTTCTCCTCCCTCTCCGTGCTGGGTCCAGGTATCAGGCAAGATTCACTTATTTGGGAGCGTGGGAATAGGGTATAGGTAAAATCAGAAGCTTTTCAGGAGAAAATAAGAGGTACTGACTAGTTCTGAGTCTCCTTCTTTAAATTAAATCAAAACCATTCCTTTTAATTAAAAAACAAAACAAAACAAAACAAGAAGTTGATCATGATGTGATGACACTCTTTTTGAAGTAAATTCTTCTAAAGAATCTTTCTGACCAGAAAGCAGAATATCAAGGTCATTCATCAGCATTTATCAAATGCTCACTTGAGAAACTTCTATATGCCTTGAGGCATTTAAAAAAGTAGACAATATCCCTTGCCTTCAAGAAGATAACAGTCTATTTGGAGACACACAGCAAGTGCCCAATGATATTTAAATGTAATATAACTTATGAAGGAGCATAAGCACTCTACATTGACTAGTGTTAGATTTCACATTCATTCTTTCACGGATACTGAGTGCTTATGGTAATGTTAAAGACACGAAAGGAAACGTTACAATCCCGGTAAACAACACATGTTTACACAGGTGTCCTTTCATCCTTAATCCTTTCTAAAATTGATGTCTTTACTACTTTAGCTTCCCCTCTGACTTAATCAGTTATATAAGCTGTTAATTTTCTTCTTTCTCTGGTGTCTTCAGAGAAATAAATAATCACAAGGAACATGCCATAAGATCCTCTTAAAACAAGGTTATTTTGTTACTTTTATTATATTTATGGCTAGGATTCAAGACTGACATGTTATTTCAAATATCGTTTAATATGGAGAAACAGAATATTATATCAATACTAATAGAAATATCCACACTGCTTACCTTGCTGTGTTTCTGAGTTTAGTAGTCCCAGCAGCTGTTTAGGAATATTGTTGAAGTGCTTTCTCATCTGGTTTCCTCTGGATGTTTCTATTGGAATGTGATGACTTACAGGCTTTGCTAGTCTCTACTGGGTCCCTCTGCCTGTCTGGTTTAGAGACTATTTCCGCATGGCTTAGTTCTCAGAATTCTTCTGTTTCCTATATTAATATAGAATTAGTATATATTAAGTAATATAATTTGAAAGACTAATAAAGTGGTAAAACATTCAATTTTCTGTTCTTTAATGGACTTTTTATTGTTGAAAGTGCTACACAACTGAGCTAATTCAGTTCAGTAGAGAAGATGGCTCTTTGATTACAGCTCTCAGATTTTGGGATTCCATCTTGTCACTATTCCAGATAATAACTCTCCTTTAGCTTCTGTTGCATTTGTACCTCCATCTGTTGCTGATTGCTTTGTTTAGGTTCTCAAGAGATATAAACCCAGAAATTTCCGTCCAAATGTGTTTTGTGTGTGTACTCTTCTTTCTTGGCTAGGCATTCTGCTCTTTGTCACTATCTCTCTTGTTATCTTGGTGAATTGTCTTGGCAATATGCAAACCTTAAAGACCAAATTGACCCCTTTACCTGAAAGCTTAGATCAGAATTTTTTCATGTTTCTTCCTCTAGATTCTGTCCTAATCCCCATGGATTCCTCTATAGCAAAGACACCTTAGAAGCAAGAAAATCACTCAACTCCAGTATAACTTAGTGGAAAGAATCAGATAGTCCTGATTTTGTGTACCCAAACTACCACTTACTAGCCATGTAACCCTGGGAAAGCCACTTAACTCTCTAAATTTTTTCATTGGTGTAATGTGAGTATTAGTTTGTAATTTATGGGTTGTCATAAGGATTAAATGAGATAATACATGTAAAGCACTTGGCATAGTGCCTAATATGTGGCAAAAACTTACTAAATGATAGCTATTCTTTTTATATGAACAACAATTCCTGTTGTTATTGGGTGGGTAGAAGATACAGAACCAAGACACCAGCTAGGAGACTTGTAAAGTCTAAAGATGCTACCCTGTGTTCCTACAGAGTAGGACTAGTGGGGTATTATTTTACTTTTGTCCCAGTGGGTCATTTTGAAACTTGTCATATCTTAGGGACCAGGCATGTAGGGGCAGGGCAGAAAAAGGAAAAAGTATGTGTGGCCAGTCTATCTGAAGTGGGTATGGATGGAAAAGTAAGATTTCAGTATATGTGTGTGGGGGGTATGGAGGAGATAATGCAGTTGGAGGAATATGATGAACAACGGAGCTGAGCAAAAAATTGTTGAGCATTTTCAGGGAATGAAATTAAAATTAACCGACTATGCTGGTGGTAAAGGGTATATGTGAGAGCAGTGAAGGGAAGGCGGGGAGTGGGAAATGGAGAGCAGGTTGTAGATGGCGTTAAATGCCATGCTAGGAAACTGTATTTTATTCTCTAGGCAATACTGAACCATTGCAGGTTTTTTGTTATAGGCTAATATTAGTAGGTTTGGATTTCAGGAAAGTCACTTTATATAAATTGGATTAATGGATATGGACAGTAAAGCATGGATTATCAACTCCAAGCCTAAGGGAGCTGGACAAGATATGAACACTCACCCTCTACACCCTATTGTCTTACACTAAGTTAATAGGGTGTAGAGGGTGAGTGTTCAGTTTAAAGGGACAACCTCAACTCTAGGTAATTTTTCCACTTCAGAACAAGGGCTTAGTGCTGCCAGTTAATCTCATTTTTTTCAATAATCAATAGAAATGCACATTTCTATTCTTCAGTTTTTAAATTTGGCAACTGATACAAATTTTGAAAGTATATTGTGATGGGTCAAACAAAACACAACTGCTGGTTGGATTTTGCCTGTGGATTGCCAGTTTGTGACCTCTAGACCAAAAGTATTGAGATCAAATTTGAGACTATTAAAATTATGTGGCTGAGAGGTAACTGGGGTAGTAGTTATGGGAATGGAAGGGAGAGGAAGGATTGAAATAAGTTCAGAGAGAATGAACAAGTCTCAGGGACTGATTTGATATGGGGAAGAGAAAATGAAAATGGATTTTGAGCCTCAGCAATGAGGCAAAGGTTAAGAGGGAGAAGTGTTTTTTGAGGAGATGAGTGCAGTTTTGGATACATTGTGTGGAATATACTGGTGCAGTCACCAGGTGGAGATGACCAGTAGGTAGTTGGAAATGTAGATCTGGAGATCAGGAGAGCTGCTGAGGCTACAGTAGGAGATTTAGGAGTTATCTTCATATAGATGGCATTTGTGGTTATGGAGACAGATGAGATCTCAAAGGGAGAAAATGTGGAATATAATGAGGGCCAAAGGCCAGCATTGTAGAGCTAGGAGACTGGAGAGCTGTTGGTTGTATGAGGAGCAAGAGAAGCTTATGAAATAAATAAGTGCTTAGAGAGGATGCAGAAAGGCCAGAGTTGCACAACATCATGGAGGCCACAGGAAGAGAAAATTTTGAAGTAAGACGGGGTATTCAGCAATTTTAAATAATGTAGAGAACTCAAGGTGGTTAGTGCCTGGAAATAGATTTCATAATTAGAAGTTACTGGCACCCTATAGGAAAATAATAGAGGACAGAATAAATTACAGTGATGTAAATAATTTCTCTTTGGCAAATTTGAGAATTAAAGGAAGGAATGAGATGGAATCATTCCTTGAAGGGAAGTCAAGGTAAAACTTTTTGTTGTTGTTGTTGAGGAAGATTGGCCCTGAGCTAATATCTGTTGCCAATCTTCCTCTTTTTGCTTGAGGAAGATTTGCTCTGAGCTAACATCTGTGCCAGTCTTCCTCTATTTTGTATGTGGGTCACCGCCACAACATGGCTTAATGAGTGGTGTAGGTCCACACATGGGATCCGAACCCAAGAACTCAGGCTGCCGAAACAGAGCATGCCGAACTTAACCACTACGCCACAGGGCTAGCCCCAAAATCTTTTTTTTTTTTTTTAACTGACTAGGAAACTGAGTATGTATGTAGTTAAAGGAGAATGAAAAATTAAGAGGGAGAGATGGAAGATGCAAGATGTATTAGTCAGCTTGGGCTACCATAAGAAAATACCATTGACTAGGTGACTTAAACAACAGAAATTTATTTTCTCACAGTTCTGGAGGCTGAGAAACCTAAGATCAAGGTGCTAGCCCTTTCAGTTTTTGGTAAGGGCTCTCTTCCTGGTTTGTAGGCAGTCAGTCACCTTCTCGCTGTGACCTCACATGGTGGAGAGAGTGAGCAAGGGAGTTCTGTGGTGTCTCCTCTTACAAGGACACTAATCCTATCATATCAGGGCCCTGCCCTTATGATTTCATTTAACGTTAGTTACCTCCTTATAGGCCTTATCTCTAAATACAGTCATATTGGGGGTTAGGGCTTCAACATACGAATTTTGGGAGGACACAATTCAGTCCACAGCACAAGAGAAAGGGGAGATGATTGATAGAACAGAATGCTAGAGGAGATACCAAAAGAGGACCAGGAACATTGGTTAGAGACGTTAACACTCCTCTCTGTAGCAGAAGAGGATGAAGTGCAGGAACATTTTTAGACAGGACAGACATTTTGGGAGTTTGCATCAGATGGCCTTGATCTTCTTTGGAATGCTGCATCAGATGGCCTTGATCTTCTTTGGAATGCTGCACTCTCTACCTTCTGGGTCTACTGTTATCCACCTTCCAGTGTTATCTGATAGTTACTTTATATCTTCTGTCCAGGATTTTTAGTTGTTATCAGTAGGAAAGATTGGATAGAGTGTGTTTGCTTTATCTTAACTGGAACCAGAGCCCCTCTATGTAATTTTTAATGCTTTATCTAGTATTCTCCACTAGATTGAGGGTGATACCTGAGAATAGTGTCACTCCATATATCAGCATATCCAATTCAGGTTCTAGCACAAAATATTTGATATATGGTTTAAATTCAATGAAACACCCCCATTGTACTCTGTTTTAATTATTTTTGCTATTATTTTTATTAAAGCACAGGATCATTTCTGCTTTAAAGCTTGTGTAGCTTTCCAACCCTTGACAGGCATTATCCCAACATTTAGATTATACCTTTAATCTCTTTATGGTTGATAAATATACTTTTAGTCTTCATTTGGATTACTGCTTTGTTTTGCAGTGCTGAAAAATTTTTGTTGGAGAAATGTCTTCTGAGTCAGAAAAGGATAAAGAAAGGCTGGTTCAAGCTGCCAAAACATTGTTCTTTCACCTACAAGATCTTGCTTCCTTCACAAACACACTCACTGAATTGTTTAACAGCAGTATGAATACCCAGATCCTCTCGATGGCTGTGAAAGAAGATGTTCGTGTTAAGGATGTCTTTGAACAAATGCTCAAAATTTTTAAGGAGATGCAGTCTGCAGTAGATGCAAAGCATGACAAAATGCAAAAGGAACCTTTATGTTCCAAGATTGCAACAGCTATGTGCTCTCTGGTTGAGAAGAGTACCAATGTAAAGGAGTTGCATCAGGCAGCTAAAGAAGTGTTCAAAAATGTTCCTACACCAATCATTGTCTCCGTGCTGAATAGTGGTAACATCCTGGGGAGTTTGGAATCTTCTCTTTCACTCTTGATGGAATATCCCCTCATGACTCTTCAATTAAGTGACCTCTATAGAAAAGAGCAATCAGAAACCACCACGTCTGAGAAAAGCGAAAGTTCAGGTCCATGCAAAACCACTACAGTAGACACCTTGAAAAAGTTGCAGGATGCGTTAAAAACTGAGAATGCCAAGAATGCCATCGAGTCGGCCACAGATCAGTTGGAACAAATTATCAAAACTACAGGACCAATCTTAGAGATCCTCCAAAAAGCCATAAAGGCTATGGAAACCAAGATTTCTGTGTCTAAAAAAGCTGATGACTAGTGGGAGTGCAGCAGAAGTGCTCATTTCTGTCAGAAAATCAGTTCAAAACTTGTGAATTTTTATAGTACTTTCTAAGACCTTTGATGCCAGATGTGGTCTATTGGGACATAAGTGCAAAGAGTAGTCACCTGGCAAACCATTTACCTCAAGTTTTGTTTTATTCAAATAAAAATAAGTAATCAAAGAAAGTAGCCTTTCTTTCTTTCAAGCCACCTGCTTGAAATGGCAGATACCGAAAAGAATATATTGTTCAAAAAATCAAGGTAGTATTACATTTGAGGATGTTTTTAAACGTTATATTTCATCTTAAATCATAATTAAAATAACCCTAAATTAATTTCCACTCTTAGTAATTCTATTTCTAGTTACTACAGTGCGAAGTCCAGGTAAATATAAACGTTATCATTAGATAATCTGGCAGAAATGACTGTTCAAGCCTAGGAAACATATAAAATAACCTCTGCATTTTTTTCACTCGTATACCAATTTCTATATACTTCGGTAAGCCATCAATAAATACTTTTGATATGATTTTTCCGGAAGAAAATAAGAATAATGAATGAGGAGTAATAGAATTTTCCTGTTTATGTGAATAAGACCAGAGCTGATGATTTATTCTCGTTTGTCTCCTACTGAGATTTTATCATTAGGAGATACTAGAGTTTGAAAAATGGAGGTGCATGGGCCGGCCCTGTGGCTTGGTGGTTAAGTGCGCGCGCTGCAATGCTGGTGGCCCGGGTTCGGATCCCGGGTGCGCATCGAGGCACCACTTCTCCGTCCATCCTGAGGCCGAGTCCCACATACAGCAACTAGAGGGATGTGCAGCTATGACATACAACTATCTACTGGGGCTTTGGGGGGAAAAAATTAAAAAAAAAAAAAAAAAAAAGAAAAATGGAGGTGCTTTAACCTTTCACAAAGAAAAGACCATAACATTTGTAGAAGTAGGATTTCTGAGATGGGCTTGAATGGGGGAAGAAAAGGTAGACAAGTAGTCCATTTGCCTCCCATAACGTCTTTGGATCCCATGCATTGTAAATGAGTGTGTGCTCTCAAGATTGCCCTATTTCGCATGATACCTAATAGGAACTTTGTTGACAATAAGAAAAGCATTAATAACTCTAGTTATTTATTGGAATTTTCCTTCTGAGAATAACTGTTTTCCTCAGTTAAACATATTCTCATTTAAAATTTTAAATCCCATTTTCTCCTTTAAAAAGAAAACATATTTCCCTATACTCTGTTAAAAAAAAAAAGTCTGAAGCATGAGAACCTAAAAGGGAAAGAAATTGACTATGAGTGTTTGATGAAGAGGGAGGAAGAAAGCACTCTATGTATGTCCTTTTTAGTGATTGCCTGCTATGCAATAACTTACACCAAGGTTGCCAGATAACCTCCATCGTCAGAGCTACTTTGAAGTTGCATTTTTGTTAGCTTCGGCCAAGAGCTCGGCTCTAAAGCCAAGGCTGTCATTTAAGTACCACTGTAACTTTAGATAAGGAATCCTTTCCTTGCTCCCAAACAACAAGACCTTCAGAATGTCCTGTGGTGAGGGTCAGAGGATTTGACCATTTCCAGGGCTGAGAGGGCCTGGAACAAGAATGAGTTTCAATACATTAACTGCATTTTCTCTCAGCTGAAACCTGGCTCATTTGCAATAGTGTCTTATTTTGAGGAGGATCTTGAGCTGATCCGTTTGCTACCCTCCCCTCAAAAGTACACGTATATAAATGGGAGAAGGGAGGTGTGACCCTCACTTTGCTGCTTTTTCTGAACCTGTACGTGTCCAGAGTTTCACCCGCCTTCTCTTGGTTTTAGGATTGTTTCCCAGGATGTCGCAAAAGCTGGGGGATTCACTGGTGAATGAATGGACAAGGACCAAGAACAGTCCTGGGGCAGAGCTTTCTGTGAAATGACTGCAAGAAAGACTGGACGCAGTTCAAGAGAATGCCTCCCCAGATGTGAATGATGTTGGCCCCTTGATGTTAGAGATGGCTGGTGCCCAGTCAATCAAGATGGGTGGTCTTCAGATGCTGGTAGTGCTTGTGAGGCTGGCCATCACTCACAATGCCTCTCAAAAACATTTTCCCACCACTGGGCACCACCCGTCTGCCCCCTCTGATGACTTCTTGTCTGCTGCTGCTTCCCAGCTTGTGGAAATACTGGGGGGAAGCTGCACTCTCCTCAAATCTATTACTCTTATCTAGTGTTTCTCTCAAATGCTTTGGTTTTGGGTTTTCTCGTTTTCTCTCAATTCCTTCAGATTTTGAAGAACAAAGTGGGGAAGACTCACTTGTTTCTATCTTAACGCCTAGTCCCATTCCTCCTCTGAGGCCGTGAGCACAGTGTGGTCAAACTGTTTGAATGAAGCATAAGTGGGGAGAAAAAAGTGAACTGCCATAAAGCAAAACAAAGCAGTAACACATGGTCATTGACTACAAAATAATGAAGAAGGAAAAGGAAGTCCTGAAATACTTGTAATACCCCCCCCCCCCGCTTTTTATCAGCCACCAATGTTTGGTACATCTTGATATCGCTGAAAGCATCTACCTCGATAAATGTTTGTTGAATTTTACCAAATCAAGAACTGGTTCATTCAGTGTAAGTCAATTTGAGTCAGATCATTAGACAACTCAGGCCAAGAATCCTGATTCCCCAAGCAAATCAAACTCTACAGAAATTTTCTTTCACTTGATTAATTTTTTTTAAAGTAAGAGTAAATAGAGAACTTCAGGATAATCAGATAGGCATATTAGAACAATGTATCATAAAGATAAAAATACAATGATACATGAGGCCACAGTATTTTTTGTATACATGAAAAGGAGAGATGTATGTATTGCTTTAATAAAATTATCATAGGAGATGATAAATACTATGCAACTTTGTAGTGTAGTCTGTCTTAACAATCTCTGTGAATTTATGCACAACTGAGGGTCCATTTTATTTTCAGAAGACACCCCAGACTAACAAAGGAAGAGAAATGACAGTGAACTTTTTGAAATGGTCTCCAGAAGTTCCATAAACTCAGACTTTGAATCAATTTAAATCATTGGTCCAATTTACGGACTTCTTGCACAAAAACTTTGGACCACAGGGACAGATTGAGGGAATGCAAACAATGTACATTCATCCTTAACTAAACCCACAAATGTACGTAATTCAAGAAAATAATTTCTGTCTCCAGAGATTTGTTTTGTAAAGCAGCAGCAGGAGGAGGAAGAACTAAGTTATCTTTTTAAAAACTTGGTTATTCCCTTAAGGATCATAATCACATAAATCACAAGCCTGGAGGGCTTATTAAACATAAATTTCTTGGTTTCTGGTTCCATAGATTTGGGGTCAGGCCCTACAATTCACATTTCTAACTTCAGTGATACTGATGTTGATACAGGGAGCATGCTTTAAGAGTCACCAACTTAGGAGAATTGTCTTGACTCAGAAAACTGTGATTTCTCATGGAGATCACATGCTTTAGGCTGGCTTTTTAGCTTAACTGAGTAACTTCAACTTTCCTCTCCAGTCCGCATTACTCCTTCACTCTGCCAGACCTGTCTCTTTTCTGACCTTTGTATACACTGATCATTCCTATATCCCACCTCTATTTTCTACTCAGCTTTCTCCTTTCCATCCATCTGAAGCCCCTCCCCTAAGCCTCACCTCTGAGAGAAAGCCGTATCCAACCACAGGCCAGAGGAATCTCATTTTTCTCTAAAGCACTTGTTTGTACTCGTTTTTGGTGCTAAGCACTTGATACACACCTGTGCTCACTGTTTTTTCTCCTTCCTTTCACCCCTGGCTCCCACCCCAATGTTCCGAGGCCTCGCTGAAGTGCTGCCTCCTACTTGAAGCCTTCCTGGCTTCTCTCTTGCTCAGTTAGAAGGAATCTCTCTTCTGAACTCTCATGAACAGAAGACTTGCTTTTCCCCTTTCTTTTGGTATTTCTTTTGTAACTCGTTTGTGTTCTTTTCTTAATTTCTCCCAAGAGATTGTAAACTTATGGAAGATCTGGCCCGGTCTATTCAACTTTTAATCCCCAAAGTGCTTTGTATGTAGTGTGGCTCAAGAAATGCATTTATATGGCACACACACACACACACAAAAAGCAAGATATTGGAAGGCTTTTCCTAACACGTTTCACCACCGCCTCACCAAGGGTCACTGCAAAACTCGTTCCTGGAGCATGCCCCCAGAAGTCTCTACTAGGTAGCCACTAACCTGCCAAAGACCCTGTGCAATGAATCACAGAAATTGTTCGTGTTTATGGAAATTTTATGCTTGCTTTATTAAATGTAGAGACCAATGCAAGCTAGATGACAGACGTGAACTTGGTCCTGTTGTTCTCAAAATCACAATGTAAAGAATGATAGTACTAGAGGGGCCGGCCCGGTGTCATAGCAGTTAAGTTCACACGTTCCACTTCTGCAGCCCAGGGTTCCCCGGTCCGGTTCGTGGGTGTGGATCTGCTCACCACTCATCAAGCAATGCTGAGACAGTGTCCCATATAGAAGAGCTACAGCTCTACAACTATGATACACAACTATGCACTGGAGCTTTAGGGAGAAAAAAAGAGAAGACTGGCAGCAGATGTTAGCGCAGGGCCAATCTTCCTCAAAAAAAAAAAAATGTTCATTCTCACCACTTTAAAAAAAAAAAAGAACAATAGTACTAGATACCTGAATTCTTTACCAGGTGATTTTATGCAGGTCACTCCCCATGGGTCTCTTCTATCATGACAAAGGGCCTTCTGGAAGTCCTACTGGGGTTAGATGAGCTGATTTCCACTTTCATTGCTTCTTATCCAAAGCTCAGAGGGGGAAGTAGCATGGACTTTCAGAATTCAAAGGTATAGAGCTAGCCCTCACCTTCACTGCAGTTAGCCCAATGCTAGGGCCTTGGAGATCATGGAAAACAGTCCCTCATTGCCCCACCTATGTTGTATACTACTTGAGAGAAGAGTTGGAGAACATTCCCAGTTGTGAAGTTTGATGATTACACTTCTTTTTATCTAATTGTTTGCACATAATGGGAACTCAATAGATCTTTGATATTTGCTTGGTAATCAGATGTTTTTTTCTCCTATATCTTTTCCTTTATCTCCACACATGTCCACATCCTTTCATAAGAAATGTACTTAAATTTGTGAAGACTTAGAATCCAATTTGCCATAATGCCTTCTGTAAATTAACATGCAAATTTAAACTTTAACTTTCTAATATTTTAGAAATATGTGTGCAGCACCCCATTACTGGCAGTGAATGAGATTTCGCTAACATCTTTCATTAACTTTCTCTTTTATTTCTCAAGCTTCTTCCCATATGAGACTTCCCATATGTTTCTTCCCATATGAGACTCCACCGGTTTGCTCTTGAATGCTGAGAAAAATCTCTGAAGAAAATTCATGCCTTGGTTATGTCTCTGGAACTCAAAGCTTTCCATTTGATGAATTTGTCCTTTGCTTTCTAACTCAAGCTTCTCTGATTTGTTCCAGTTTAGGATCACTAAATAAAAAATAAGGGAGAGTCTGTATTCATTATAACTCCTTCAATTGCTTGAGAAAGAAATTTTAATTCAAATTATTTTAGCAAAAATATAATTTATTATGTAATGAAAAAGCGCCAGGGGCTGGCCTGGTGGCGCAAGCGGTTAAGTGTGTGCGCTCCACTGCGGTGGCCCAGGATCCGTCGGTTCAGATCCTGGGTGCGCACCAACACACCGCTTGTTAAGCCATGCTGTGGCAGCGTCCCATATAAAGTAGAGGAAGATGGGCACGGATGTTAGCCCAGGGCCAGTCTTCCTCAGCAAAAAAGGGGAAGTATGCGGGTAAATGTCTACTAGGGGGTTTTATACCCCAAAAAAAAAAAAAAAAAAAAAAGAAAAAGAAAAAGCCCCAGATATCCAGTTTCAGGCACAGTTGGATCTAGGGCTCATACACTCTCCTTAGGACTCAGTTCCTTTTCATTTTTCAGCTCTTCCTTCATTGTGTTAGCTCCATTGTCAGGGAGGTAGAGTCTCCACTCCTGGTGGCAAGATAGCTGCTAGTAGCTGTAGGCTCATATTCACTCTGTTCCATTAATCTCCACTCAAAAAAAAGATACCCACCCCACTTCCAAACCCAATTCCAAAAAAGTACCCTGATTGTATCTCACAGGCTCTGATTGGGTCATTTTTTATTCCAGCATCAATCTCTGTGTCCACGGAGAAGAAATATACTGAGTTACAGGCCCACTCATAGGCAATGAGCTAAGCCAGCTCTGTATCAATTGATAGGTGGGCAGAGTGAATCCCAAGGGAATTCAGGGTCCCCTGACTGAAAGAAAGCAAAAGGGTACAGGGAAAGCAAAACCACAAGATTCCTTTATGCTCTACTTTTGGAAGAGATGATGACGCTGGTCAAAAAGGAAAGAGAAGCAATAATTACAGGAGCAGGGATGCACTTTATGCTGGAATCTGTAAAAAAAACAAAAAAAGAGTTAGAGATGTTTTAGGTAGCAGAGATTTTTTTTAACTACCTCATTTCTCCTTTGATTCACTTTTTTAACTTAGGCAATTCCTAATAAAAATATTTGAATTTAGCTACTTTATAAAAAGCGTTCTCTTAGATTTTTCTAACCAACAAGCTCAGCTTGCTTATTTCGAGGGTGATAAATTAGGCACCAAGAGGTTAAGAGATTTACCTCAGGTTGCCCAACTCGTTAGTGGTAGAAATCTCCTAATTTTCCATCTCTGTCATTATCAGCGTTATTGCTATCACCATCTTAATTATCATCATCTTCATCACCATTATGAAAGCTCACATTAAGTACTTATTCTGTGCTAGGGTCTGTTTTAAGCACTTGCTATAAATTAACTCATTTAATCCTCAAAGGTATCTATTCTCCTTATATTTATTCTCCCTATAATCCTATGAGGTATTTATTCTCATTATCCTCATTTTATAGTTGATAAAACTATGACACAGACATGTGAAGAAACTTGCCAAATATCGCACATCTAGCATGTAGTGTAGGCGGTATTCAAACTCAGACAGCCTGGCTCAACTCCTTCTCTCTCTCTCTATTTTTGTTTTTTGCTGAGGAAAATTGGCCCTGAGCTAACATCTGTTGGCAATCTTCCTCTACTTTATATATGGGATGCTGCCGTGGCATGGCTTGATGAGTGGTTTGTGTGTAGGTCCACACTTGGGATCTGAACCTGCAAACCCTGGGCTGCCGAAGCCAAGAGCACGAACTTAACCACTATGCCACTGGGCTGGCCCCTCAACTCTATATTTTTAACCACTGTATTGTCTCTCCATATATACTGTGTCCATTTATAGAACTATTTTATTACAAGATGGGCAAAAAGTATTCACACAATCCTGCTTAGTGTGTGTGTGTGTGTGTGTGTGTGTGTGTACTTCCTACACATACACACTCTTCACAGGAAGTGTGGGAAAGTTTAGCAGCTGGGTAGATGTGCCCCATGGAAGCAAAATTGGAATACAAAAAATTATTGTCAGGTATAACTACTAATTGGGAATACAATGGGATGAATATATAGAATGAGATGGAAGATGGAAACGTTTTAAAAATGCTCTAAATAAACAGTGGAATCTCCTTTTCAACCAGCCTTAGCTGATTATTTAGGGTGGAAAAGATGTTCGGGGTAGAAAGACATTCAATTCCGTGATTATCTCAATATTTGAGCTTATTGTTTGATAGGATGACCAGATGATGAAGGAATATTTTTCCATTACTTTCACATGATGTATAAAATCCTTTGAGTTTCCTGGAATTTCTATTTGGATTTCTATATATACCAACAGTAATTTTCAAAACCCTGCTTTTCACCAACAAGAATAGACAAGAAAAATTAATAGTGCATACATATTTCTAAGCTTTTGTCAAAGTTTGTGTTAAAATTGTATATGTGAATTCTCACAGGGACCTAGAAACCATTAATTCCACTTTAGCAGGTCATTCATTAGAATGATTCTCAAACATTTTTTTTTGTTTCGTTTTCTCCTCATTGAGGCTGGAGATCACAAGGATCTCCAACCCCACCCTTTCTCACTTTTTCTTAATGGGATAAGATTCTACTGGAGATTTATCAGAAAATATTGATTGACAGTGAAACAACATAACAGAGAAGGATTATGGGTTTGGGAGGTGATGAGCTTTGGAGTTGAAGCTCTGCCCCTGGCTGTTTGACTTTGACCATGTTAGTTACTTTCATTGGGGCTCAGTTTTCTCCTCTGTAAAATGAGAGCATCTCCGGGTTTCTGGAAATACTGTGATCACTACCACTACTCTTGACTGTGCTTCGCTGCTATTATGATGATGCTAAAATAAGAGACAAACCTGTAGACGTTACTATGTTGTAACCATACTCATCCTTCAAAAACCCCTCTTAAGCCCCCTTCATAATCACTAAGATGTTAAAAATAGCTTATTTTTATGTTATATTCTCAAGTTAAAGTAACTTTTCTTTCCTAACTCTCTTGTTACTTTTTCTCTACCTCTCCTATGGTCATTATCATTTCTACCTCACAATATTATTATTTTTTTTACACAGACAATATTTTTATTTAGGAGAATAAATGAAAAACTTCTGTGAATTAAGTTAATTACAATCTACAAACTCTTTCATTTGAGGATACCTTACATTAATTTTACTTTTGTATTTGTCTTTACTTTTCTTGTAGACTATCTATTCAGTGCTTTTTATTCCCTCTGTACCCTAGTGCAGTATTTTTCAAATTGGAGGTTGTGATCCTTAATGGTTTGTGATATCAGTTTAGTAGGTCACAACCATCACTCTTTGATAATGTAATAAAATAGGTTAGTAGAGTTACACTGCATAACTTTAAGATTAACTATTGTCTTCTAATATATGCATTTGTGTGTGTGTATTTCTATATTTATGTGTATTCAAAGTGAGTTATAATGTAAGTAGTCACAATCACAGAAGATTGAAGCCTCTAGTAGGGTCTTAGTAACATTTTTGAATGGACAAATAAATCTGAAAGCAACCTATGGAGAATTATCCTGGACTTTTAGTCCAAAAACATGGGAAAGGATCCTACTTTTGTCATTTATAAACTATCTGAATAATCTTACACAAACCATTTAACCTCTCTAAACCTCAGTGTTCACATCACTATAGTGGAGTCAATAACCCAAAGTACAGGGTGGTTGTAAGAATTAAACAGATAATGCGTGTGAAAGCCTTTTGTAAACTAAATTGCTACACAAATATCATTTTATTAGTATATTATAACCTAATTTTGGTCACCTCTGCCTTAGGGTATACAGTCTGGGGAGAAATACTTAATTATTACACTTTTTATTTCATGAAGTCCGAATCTGTGAACTATATCAGACTGTTCAGATAACATCCCTAGATAACATAGTATTTGGAGGCAAATGCTATCTCTAGCCGCTTTCTGTCAAAATGCAGTGAGTAACGTGTTAATCTTTTAGAATGTTGTCTAGGAAAAGGTTGGCACTCAAAAATGGTAAACATTATTTCTCGTCTCTTCTTTCATTTCTATTCTTATTGTCAATACCACTGAAGCACACATTTGCGCCATTAAACTATTATCCTGCTTCCACGTGCAAAGTACTTTCCCAGCATTTTTCAATGGTGTTTGAGAGAGTGGACACCAAGTGCTACCACAATATTCCCTTTAGGCAAGTATTGGCCCCATTTTATAAATGAAGAAACAGGCTCAGAAGTTGTCATTTACACGAGGCCACATAGCTTCTGACGTATGCCCAGCTCTCACTGGCTCCAAAGTCTATTTTCTCTCCACCATGCAACGTGGTCCCCCAGATTCATTCAATTACTCATTCTTTCATCCATTCGTCTGAGAGACACTCTACTTCAAGGTGAATGTGATGCCACAAATAGGGAAAACTAATTTGAGATAGTTTAAGTCCAGAGTAAAAGAAAACAGGAAACAGAAATTCAATAAAATAAAAAAACAATAATGGTAATAATAATGGTAGAGAAAAAGTTTTGAGCACTTCTTTACATGTGTTACATACTATTCTAAGAGCTTTTATGTGCATTAATTCATTTTATCCTCACCAGAATGTTATAAGGTAGGTTTTATTTTAAAAAATTATTCCTACTTTACATGTAAAGAAATTGAGGCACAGAGAGATTAAGCCATTTGCCCACATTCTCACTGCTAGTAACGGGCAAAGTTAACATGTAAAACCAGGCTTACTACAAACAATTGACTCTATTTTTTCTAGAAACATCCTTAGGAATTTTGATTATGTGAAATATTTTAACAAATCTCTCTTCTTTGTGACTCCAATGATACAGAACAGAGCATGTATTTGTGTGTCTACAGATTTTTGGCACAGATTATTTTGCTGAACGAAGCAACGTTTAAGGGCGAATAACTAACATAACATATTTTGAGTCTTCCAATGGGCATGAAAACATCTGTTTCTATGGTAACCGGTATGGGTCATGTGAGGGGTGAGAGATGATTTAGAGGGAAAAGCTGTTAGTTTAGAATATCTTAAACAATTTTCCTTTTGCAAATTCACTTCCTGAAATGTATTATGCTACCAATTTGACCTCTTGACCGTCTGAAGGCCACAGATTCCTGGGAACTCTTTGAGCTTGAGAACTGCAGTTACAAGTTAACAGAACCAATTTTGAAATAAACTGAGGACTGGAATGTGCTTTAATCTAGTGTCTCTTCATTGGGAGAACTACAGGGTCCTGGCTGGCCAGTTCTAAAGGTCTTCATGTTGTTTTTCAAATATCATATCTATCAGATTAGGAGGGAACAGGAAAGGAAACATAAGTCACTGGCTCATAGGCACTTTTGGGGACATAGAGTAGCCTGTGGCTTCTGCTAGTGAAAAACCTGAAAGAATAAGAAACAGTCTCCTGAGACGATTCCAGTTTCATGAGGAATTAGACATCAGTACTCCAGAATACCATCTGTGAATTCCCTAGGCTGAGGTGAGTGGTACAGATCAGGAGATTGGTTGGGAGAAGTGAAGTGGGCAATAGCAGTTATCTAGAAAATCAAGTCTGAGGAGAGTACTGAAGCAGAGCAGAATATACCACCCCAAAATATGCCTCTTTGGTGTAAGGATTATTTTGAGCAGAAGGCATTCAAGACCCAGCAGACTCAGAAAAATCTTTCTTCCTCCCCCTGAACTTCCCAAAAGATGTAGAAAGAGGTCCTGTAGCAGCAAGAGAGCTACCACCAGGGATAACTTTTTCATCTGAGAGACTTATCTGCATAGCAGGGCAAATGTTTGTTTACCAAACATTTGCTCTTCTTCTCTTCCTGTGAATTGTCCTCCTCCCCTTTGAAGCCCCAGACCCCTATCCCTTTCCTTAGCTCAGGATGGTATATAAGCTTCCATTGCCTGGCTGCCTTTGAGTCTCCTATTTTTATGCTCCCATATGTATGAAATTAAATTTGTTTTTCTCCTGTTACCCTTTTTTGTGTGTGTGAGAGGAAGATTGGCCCTGAGCTAACGTCTGTGCCCATCTTCCTCTATTTTGTATGCGGGACGCCACCACAGCATGGCTTGATGAGCTGTGCCTCTGTCTGCACCCGAGATCCGAACCTGTGAACCCTGGGCTTCCAAAGTGGAGCGCACGAACTTAACCACTATGCCACCAGGCTGGCTCCTCTTGTTACTCTTTTTATTACGGGGGGATCTCAGCCAAGAACTTACAAGGGTAGAGGGAAAATTATTTTTCCTCCCCTACAGTACGTTGATCTTAGTCCAAACCAGTGAAGGACCCCTAGATAAGAAAAAGACTCCACCTCCCTCCTCCCATTGTTTATGTATGGATCAAACCAGCATTGCTCCAGGATGTTGGGATAAATAGAGTATTATTTATCAGTTAATAGAAATGACTTCAGAAAGATTTCAGACATAGCTTACTCCTTGCAAAAAAAAACCTGCAGTGAATAGCTGAAAGCATTCTGAAGCCAAACATTTAAAAAAAAAAAAAAATCGGTAGAGATAGGTGGATATTGGTTGTGTCCATTCCAAGACTATATAGTCTTTTGATCCTCAACTAAAGTGACTGTGCTAACAATCAGCCAATGGCAGATGAGGCTAAGGTAAGGTGAAACCAGAGGATGGAGCGGCCTTCTCTGCAACTTTCAGTCAGAGCCCAGAGTCAAAGGACGAATGACATCCCTGCAGCCTGAGCTCATTCATTTCCCTCTTACACTCTCCCGGATAGTTTTATAGCTATGCTGGCTGGGAAGACACTTCAGTTCCAGCTCTTAGTCTATCTTCAATGTCTCTGACCAGAATGTCACCCTCTAAGACCACTGGTATTTTTATTCTGCCATTTACAATCTCTTTTCCCAAAGACTAACAAGCTGCTAATTGGTGAATTTCTAGGAAAAGTTTAGATATAGTAACTCACATTGCAAGTGACCACATTCCAGGGCATTTACGTTGTGGCTACAGCTCCTTGCTCTTTACTAGGGGTTGAACCTTCTAGAATATTTTCCCTTTCTAGCAAATATTGGAACTGCTTTTAGTCAATTGAGTTATATGGTTGTCTGACTCAAGGCCCAGATCACTCAGAGATGTGAAAGAGAGTGCTTCATTTACTTATTTAACAAATACAGATTGAGCATCTCTATGTGCCAAGGGACTAAAGTTAATAATAGTTAACACTTATTTACCATTTATTATATGCTAGGGAATGTAAAAATAATTTAGTGTTTTAGTTTATATTTTATTTTATTTCGTTTCATCTTTACAAGAGCCCTGTGAGTCTCTGTTACGATGCTTGCTATGGGGATGAAGAAGCTTAGAGAGTTTAAGCAACTTGACTGAGAACACAGCTAAAAAGTGGTACAAGTTGGATATGAATCCAGACAGAGTGGATCTAGAGTCAAACTGCCTGGATTCCATGCCAAGCTCGTAAGTACTACGTAGTCAACATCCTGCCCACAAGGAGCCTACAGAGCAACACAAGAATGTTGACTCCCTGAAGTTTGATTTGTGATCTCAAATCTTCAATCAGGACCAACCAAGCTTCCAGAATCTAGTAATATGCATGCCTGCCCCAGCTAAGCATTAATTCAAAACCAGGTTAAAGTTGTGTTTTAGTAGTTTCACCACAGGAAACCAAAGATCTTTAGATTAGGGGGGAGGGTCTTGAGATATTTTTCTTCGAGACTTATAGAGTGGCAGAACATGGGTAATAGTTTCTATCGTATATTCCTCTGCCTTACTTTCCTAGTCCTCGACATAAATGTTTTACGATTTTTCACCTAACATATTTTACAGTGCTCGTTAACCTAGTAGAAAAATTATGTGTCTCAACTTCATGTTGAGAATGAAGCAACAGTGGTCCTAGTCAGATGTTGTTCCAAAGAATCCTGGAACCTGACTGTGAATATTCTTATTTATTATCAAATTCTCACTGTTTTCTTCATATTCTACTCTGGTTTTTTGTTCTCCTCTACAAACACTAATCTCTTGGGTCTGTGGAGCAGATGCTCATTTCACTCACATTGCTGCCTGCCTCACTGCTGAGGGGAGGAGGGAGGAGATAAAGGTGTTGCTAGGTCACCTCTCCCCTGGTCTGTGTTTACAGGTAGGGTGGAAGGAGCGGGCCCTAGACCTCAGTGTGAATGCCAGCGTGAGGACCTTTGCAATACTATAGCCCTTGAATGTTGAGATATGCTGACAGCCTGAGTTATTAACAACATCAATAATGATAGAGAAAGATTTAGAGATATTTCAAAGGTAGAGACTGCAGCTGGGTTGCCGTTAACTGTGAGTGTGGACAAATGCACATGTGGATAAGGACAGTCGTCTTCCTTCTGAGTCAAACGGCACAGCATTTGCTACAGAACTAACACTGTGAAATGACTGTGGTTGACAATATACAAGGATAAAATGGAATCAGCCACATTTCTTTCCTAAAAAAGAGCTTAACAATTTTTAATTTGTACTGTGATATCTCTAATTTCTTCTGCTTTAGTTCATTTTTCACAATATCATTAGAGCTCTTGCTAAAATACTGATCCAAGTGATGATCCACTCCTTAAAAACTTCTGATGACTTTTCATTACCTACAGCATGAAGTTCAAAAGTGCTTAGCCTGGAATACAAGAATTTTTACAGTCCGGCCCCATCAGAGCTCCCCTGGCCCAATCAATCTCCTCCTCCTTTTCCACTCCTAGCTCTTCCTAGTCCTACACACCCTACCTTCCAGCCATCCAGCATTTTGGAGATCCCCTGAAAACTCCAGGCTCTTTGAAATCTCTGTAATCCAGCATATGCTGTTTTCTGCTTGAAATGACTTTTCGTCTCTTCTTTCACTGAAAACCCGCATTCCTACCTCAAGTCCTACGTGGTCCTCTGTTGCCAAGCCTTCCTCCCTTTCCCCAGAGAGAATGAGTAGCTTCCTGCAATGGGCAGCCACAGCCATTGCTTAAAACACTGGTGTATTAGTACTTTTGTGTATAAACAATTGTTCATATTTCTATTTCTCATTAGACTCAAAATCCACCTAGGATAGTGATTTTGCTTTACTCATTTTAATCTATCCTAGTTTCTGGAACATAGAAGACAGTTAATAGATGAAAGTGAATGAATAAATCTTGCCTCCTGTTTTACTTTTAGCACTCCTTATTCATGAAATGACCATGACAAAGAACGAGTTTGAGGGAGACGGTAAAAATGCTCTATTTTATGCACTATCTTTTCCGGTAGAGGTTTACCTTCTCTGTCTAGAATGCCACATATTAGTGCCATTGCAGAAACACATTTTCCTAGAGGTAGTTGAGGGGAAAGAAGAGAGGGGAAATCAAGAAAGAAAGCAGTTTTTCTCTATTCTATCAGTTCTACCATTACTGAAGGCCAATTTCTATGTTTTTGGCCTTTTCTTCCCAAGCCCACTCAGAAAGTAACTTTCATAAAAGAATAGTGGTCTGTGATCCTGATAAGAGTAGGTTCAATTTAGATCAATAATTGTACCTTTTAGCAGCTGACAGTTATACATGCTCAGGTTCCCAGTTGACCGCAATTGCAACCAATTTCCTCTTGGGTGGTAGCTCATATTTACAACTTCAAACAACTCATAGGGAGGGACTAGGACCTTCTTGAAAGAGAAGTCTTGTATAGGTGCACCCAAGCAGGTAAATACGGTAAATAGAGTTTGGTTCCCAAACTGCTGTGCCTTTTCTCTTAGAAGGGAGGCGGAGAGGAATTGGCCAAATCTAATGGTGGCACCTGTGTAGGCTTCCAAATAGACACCCTCATGGTGCACCTCATAACACAGTGAGCCATTCTTCAGGACAATCTCTTCCCTCAGCAGCTGGATTGCTGAGGTCAGGTAGTAGTGTAGGTATTTGAAATGGAATGAATGTTTATACGGCTGTGGAGACCTAGCAGCGCTCGCCATGGCTCTAGTGAATTCTGAGCTAACACTGTTGTTCGATGAATAAACCAAAATGGCCACAGCGTGTGTAATATTCATGTTCTTGGGTAGAGTTTTTCCTTGACTCAACCAGGTTAAGTGGGCTTTCTGCCAGACCCCGAAATAATTCCCATGGGCTTTTAGTTCTTCTGTGAAATAATCCCCTTGATTTAGTTCCTCCATGACCTCTTGGCTGCAGCCTTGGTACTGATCATCAAAGGAACCTGGTGCCAAGTCAAAGTCAATTTTAATTGCAACCTATAAAAAAAGAAAAATCTTGATTTTAATTTTTCAGATCAGATGGTGAATGTGATGGCCTATTCGCTATACTCTATAAGGCCAAGTCTTTTCCTCAAAACCAATATTTGCTGAAGGAAGTTTCACTCATAATCATTACACTGCTCCAGTCCTGCCTGCATCAGTGACCTGTGTTAGAGGTTAAATTCGATTTGATAAATATCACTGAAAGCTCAAAAAAACTGATCTCCCCAGGGAGGAAGTGACCCTTTTTATATCACCGAAAACAGTATTTTTGCATATTAGTACTTTGAAGAAAAAAATTAATAACTTTAAAGTTTAATTATACTTTCTGTTTCCTCTACTTACCCCCTTCACATTCTCTCATGGGTGTTTTAAGGAATATCTCTTTTATGAATACCTAAAACCTATAAGTCTTTGAACTTTGTTTAAGAAAAGACTTAAGTGATGAGTAATGTTGGGTTCTCCAAGGGGGCCCCCAGTGAATGACAGCCCTCTCCTCTGCTCAGGATCTGAAAAAAATGAGGAAAAAAGCAAATATGAAGGCTAAAATATCATTTTGACTACCGAACAAGGCCACGTTGGAGCACACATCTTTAGGTCTGATGGCAAGTGGGCTTGTTAAGAGTAAATCCCAGAGTGAGGCAGACTTGTCCACTTAGCTGCAGGCAGTATTGGATCATGCCCTCCCCAGCTAAGATCCTTGTCATGGAGGAACACAGAACTCATGCCCTTTGTCATCAGGCTAATTCCCAGGAGGAAGAAAAGCAGAGTCAAACTCAGCATACTTGGTTATTCTTCCTGACACCACCAATCAAGTAAATTTGCCCACCTCCAGGGCAGCTGTGTGACAGCTGTGTGGACAGTGTTCAGGAGTGTGCTTAGGAAAGTCCTTCCTCTTAGTAACCAAGAGTGGGAAAAAAATATTTTCTTGTGGGTAGCCAATTGAATATTACTTATTGATGTCTAGTGCCTATTAAACTGAAGTTAGAGATTTGAATACAAGTTCACCAAGTATCATCAGTCCATCATCTAGAGCCAATTTTCAGTTATCTAAATTCCGAGATATTTTCTGCTTGGCAAAGAAATGATGCTTTTCTAATAAACAGCATTCATGAAGAAATATTTTAAGAGGTAAGATTCCATCCCGTCAGTGTCAAGGGACTTGCAGCTGGAACTCAAAAACATGCCATTTGATATTTTCACTGTGTTATTTATGATGAGAAATCATCTAGTTATGTGCAAACTGGAACAATTTTTTAAGACTGATTAAATGATTTTAACCAATAACTCTTTATAGCAGGTTTACAAATAGGTCTACATTATCTATTTAAGTGAAAACAAAACAAAATCAATACTATCATGTTCTGTCAAATCTTGTGAACTCTAAAACTTTTATATATTACTAGATCTCAAATATGTACTCTATCTCTTAATATTAGATTTTTTTATTATATAGAACTTCCGATTATAATACTTATTTTGAGTTGATCCATATGATATTGTCTAAAGCCAAATGGACTTCGTTTATTTGCATTATTTGTCCTACATAAGCAATGTTTTACTTAAATTTTACAGAGAATCAAGAAAATAATACTATAAGTCTAGCTTCCATTATGTCAAATTTATAAACTGTAAATAATTCCACAATTTTTAATAGTTGTTTTTAACACTTTTCTCTAGTCCTATGTGTTAAAGTTTCTGAATGACATTAGATCCCAAGTGACTGAAGGTCATGTAAAGGTTGTCACCAGGAGAAAGCTGGACTGGAGTATTGATCATAAGGAGATCACCTCCGCAATTGCGACCTACCTCAGAACTCCCCGTGGGTCTCTGCAGGCCAGAGAACAGCAGCAGGAGAAGAAACTGCTCCCTAAGGAGCCAGATTCTCGTCACAGGAGCAGCAGGAGTTGGGAGAAGAATCCCCCCGTGTCTGTTGGCCAATGGACAGCATTTGTTTATGGTAGAAGTACTTCGTTCTTGCAGCTTCATCCTGAAATGAGTTCTCAGAGTTCTCCTTTGGGGTTTTCTTTGGGCGAGTGTCAGCAAGAACATTCCTCGCTCATGTCTATGTTGAGACTTCTGTTGACCACCACCAACTAGCAGTTTTTCCGAGGGAAGAAATCAACTCCAACTTGCAAAACTGAAAGCTCTGTGAAACAGCCAGACTTGTGCACCAAATAAGAGGTTCTAAAGTGAACTCAAGTTAGTTTCCGATTAAAAAAAAAAATCCCCTATCTAGTCTGTATATGGAAGAATTCCAAAGGCCTGTTGAAGGTCAGGTTCAGCAGTTCAGCCTTTACTTTCTCAGGAAAGCAGAAAAAGGCGTGCGCTGTACAGTGTTTGGGGCCAAGTGGCATTATCTTGAACTGCAGGCTTCCATTGCAAGTGATATGATTGGCTCATGCAGGTCACTGGGAAGATGTCACCTCCAGTAGAGCCTGTCAGGCTTATCTGGTGCTGCTGACAGGCCCCGCCCAGAAGGGACTGTCATGAAACAGCGCACCTTTTAGGCTTACCGTCAAAAAGAAGGCTCAATTTGCTGCTTCTCCATGGCACTTTGAAACTCTCCAATGCAGGAACTATACCTGTTGGGGTCACAGCTCTTCCCCATTTTCTCTTCTGAGGATCTCATCAGATCCTCAAACCACACTATTCAGTCTATAGTGAATCCAAATGATTACAGTCAGAAGACAGCCTCTGAACAGCTGACACCAATCAAAAGTAGGTTCCACTGTGCTAAATTAATCCAGGGCAGGTGTTCTATTAAACACTCTCTTAGGCACTTCCCCTTCTAGTCTGAACATCCTCGCTCTACTCTCAATCCTTGGAATAATTGTTTTTCTTGCAAATCTTTCCCATTTACACTTCTTTATTCATTATTTAATTATGAAGGGACTCTAAATCCCTTTCTTGGAAATTCTGGTATTTTTTTTTCAGCACTCTAAAATAGTTTTAATCTAAATTTTCCAATAATCACAGCAGTTCTGTCTCATTTAGAAGTTCAGGATATCTAGAAAATTATAAAAGAGAAAACAAAATTACCCATAACCTATCACCTGGAGAAAGGCACTATTTAGGTTTAGAATTTGGTTTTACACACACACACACACACACACACACACACACACACACACATTCTAGGACTGAAATAATATAGTATGCAATTTTTCATACTGTTTTTCCTTAATGTCTTATTGTAAGTATGTCCCCATGTAGTTTAATACTTATTGAAAGAATGATTATTTTATGATTGCACAATATTTTACCATAAGTGTTATCATGCAATGAAATTTGGAGTGGATCCATGGACTATACTGTCTCAGAAACAGATTGACTAGTGAATAGAACACGGACTCTTGAGAAAGACACCTCAGTTTAATTCCTGGTTTTATCACTTCCTTAATGTTTGACCTTGGGCAAGGTACTTAACCTCTCTGTTCTTTAGTTTCTTCATGTGTTAAGTGGAGATAATAATAGTACCTGCCTTATTAATGCTGTGATACATTCATACCCTTCAAACACCATCTGGCACCGAGAAACTGTTCTGCAAATAAAAACAATTATCATTATTTGTACAAAACTTTATTGAATAAATATCTTATATTTAGCTTGTTTCCAACTTTGTGCTACTATAAGCATTGATTTGTGAACAAGTGTGCTCAATCTTTGTGTGCTTCTCTTCTTGCCATTTTAAGACACAATTCTAGAGATGTGACCACTGATCAATGGAATACATATTTTTTGGACTTAATGGAAAATATGAGTAGAGTATCCCTTTAAGACTTTTAAAATTCTGAAGATTCCTCATTATCAGCTGTTAATTTGGGATATTGAGGTGTCATGAAGAGAACTAGAATTAGTCTGAAAACTTGGATTATGGGTCTAATTCTACAGCTTGCTGGCTGAGTTAAAAAGTGAGCATGCTGGGCTGAACTTCAGTTTCTTCAATCTTATAGAGTTGTCAAAAGTAAATAAAGTAATAATAACTACTTTTTATTGAGAGTGTACTGTGCTTCAAGACCCTTTAATATGTCATCTCAACCTACAAGACAACTTCTAGAAGGAGATATTTTCATCTCCACCTTATGGGTGCATTTGCTGAGGCCCTGTGAGGTTAAATAACTTGTCAGTGGTCGCAGGCATTTTCCTCTCAGCCCTGTGGCTCACTGCCTCCAAAAACTCGAAAGGAGTGTAAGTGTCATTTTATTATTATTGTCGAAGAGCGTACTGCCTATGTTTTCTTCTAGAACTTTCACAGTTTCAGGTCTTACATTCAAGTATTTAATCCATTTGGAGTTAATTTTTGTGTATGGTGTAAGGTAAGGATCTACTTTCATTTTTTTGCATATGGCTATCCAGTTTTCCCAACACCATTTATTGAAGAGACTTTCTTTTCCCCATTGTATGTTCTTGGCTCCTTTGTCAAAGATTAGCTGTCCATAGATGTGTGGGTTTATTTCTGGGCTTTTGATTCTATTCCATTGATCTGTGTGTCTGTTTTTGTGCCAGTACCATGCTGTTTTGGTTACTATAGCTTTGTAGTATATTTTGAAATCAGGGAGTGTGATCCCTCCAGCTTTGTTCTTTTTTCTCAGGATTCCTTTAGCTATTCGGGGTCTTTTGTTGTTCCATATAAATTTTAGGATTCTTTGTTCTATTTCTGTGAAAAATGTTGTTGGAACTTTGATAGGGATTGCATTGAATCTATAGATGGCTTTAGGAAGTATGGACATTATTATTATTGTCTATAAAGGTTTTTCCTATTCTGACTGCCATTTCCAGAATAATACCACTAGGGGGCAGCAGGCACCTTTGTAACATTTTTATACAACTCCTTTGCTTTGGATTTTAAGGGAGAGGGGTAGAGAGGAAAAAAGGGAAGGAGGAGAGGGAAGGAGAGACAGAGAGACAGAGACCAAGACGGAGAGAAGAGACACAAAGAGAGAGGAAGGGAGGGAGGGAAGAGAGAGAACATCTGCAATAAACAGGGGTAGGGAAAGGCCAGGGGTCTGCTGTGTGACTGTGTGTACATTTTTGAATTAAAATGAAAAAAAAGTTTTCTCACAATGTTTAGAGTCACTAAAAAAACCGTCTTTTTCCTTGAGGGCTAATTTTTTAAAGTTCCCAAAGGATAATTTAATATTAGTTAATTTAGAGCCTGGGGTTCACTCGGTTATCGTTTTCTTCATGTTACCCAGTTCTTCAGAATGCAATCTATTTGTGCTGTCTTGATGGGTAAAACGGATATGTGTTTTGAAATTGCACGGAATTGTGTTGGTATTCTGCCTCCATGATTTCCTAGCTTTTGTGAATTTGAACAAGTTATGTTAATTCTTGGTGTCATTTTCTTCCTACGTAAAAGTGGAGATGATAACTCCATTCTTATAGGGCTGTGTTGACAGTGAAACTGAGATACTCTATGAAACACTATGGTGTGGATCCATGAATTATACTGTCTTGAAAGCAGATTGGTTAGTGAATAGAACATGGGCTCCTGAGAAAGACCCCTCGGTTCAATTCCTAGTTCTATCACTTTCTCAGTGTTTGAGCTTGAACTGGGCATTTTACCTCTCTGCTCCTCGGTGTCCCAGGCGTCCTAATGCCAGGGACACTTAGCAGGTCCTCAAAGCATGTTGACTTTCTCTACACTCTTCTCAGATATTTGAAGGCCAGCAACTCCAAGGTTGTCCAATGAAGTGAAAGTTAATTTTTATTACTTTTTAAAAACAGCTGTTTAAGAAAAGGTTTTGCCAATTTTCTACAATAAATTCTAGACATTCTAGACTGGTTTTCTAAAGCTACTTTCAGAGCATGAGTTGAAGCAGTCACTAGAGGGCGGATCCCAGGAAGAAATTGTATATGGCTCTTAGTATTTCCTGTTTGGGTCTTGATGAACTCCTTCTGACCTCTGTCAATTTAATGGGGATATCTTACTGCCAGAAATCCTTGTTACCTAGAGGAAAATAGTTGGATAGAAACCCCAAAATTTGGTAGTCAGAATGGTTTTAACATTTTAAATTGTCAGTTCTCCTTTACCCTCAACACCTTTACAGAAATGAGCAAAATCCCCTCAACTATTTCATATTTTTATGACTTTTTACTTAGATAAAATTTTAAACTTACAAAAACTTTGCAAGTTTCTGTACGAGGAACATACATGTGGCCAAGGAACTCCCATAAGCCCTATCCACATTTGTCGATTGCTTATACTTCGCCTCATTAGCTCTATCATTCTCTCTGTCTTTTTTTCTAACCCACTTGAGAGTAAGTTGCAGACATCATGCCCCTTGTTAAAAGATAAACTGAGGCATATTAAAATTTTAAAGAATTTATTTGAGCAAAAATCGATTTGAATCATACAGTGCCAAACCAGAAGTGGTGAGGAGCGCTCCACTGAAAGGAGCTAGAGGCCAGATTTTTACACAGAAAAATAGAAGCAAAGCAAGGAATTGTGTGATTGGCTGCAGCTTAAGCGTTGGCCTTATTTGGGAAAGTCTAGTTATCTGTTTGTGTTTGGGTGTCCTTCGGTTTTGATTTCTCAGCCCTCAGGCGTTACAGGGTTAGCTTTTGGTTTGCTTACACAGGCTGCTAAGGTATTAGAACCACCTCTGTCTACTGGCTTCCTTGTTTAATTAATTTAACACCTTTCACCCTTAAATACCTCAAAATTTACTTCCTATAAACAAGGACATTCTCTTACATAGCCACGGTACAATTACCAATATCAAGAAATTTAACATTTATACAATATTACTATCTAATCCAGAGTCCATATACAAATTTCGTCAACTGTTCCTGTAATGTCCTTCATAGCTATTTTCCAGGATCACAATTTGCATTTAGTTGTCAAGTCTCTTTAAACTGGAACATTTCCTCAGCACTGTATTTATTTTGCTTTTTGACCCTGACATTTTTGAAAATTATAGGCCTGTTATTTTGTAGAATGTCTCTCATTTGGGGCTTGTCTATTATTTCCTAATGATTAGATTCAAGTTATGCAGTGTGGGCAGAGAAATCACAGAAGCAATGTTGTACCCTTCTCATTAGGAGGCGCCTGCGTCCATTGTTTCAATATATTTTGTAACAACAGTTGTTAGATCAATTGCTTCCTTATGAAACATGTTATCTAACCTTTTTTCATTTTCACTTTTTTTTTAAGCACAGGACCTTAGTGTTGGGAAAGAGCTTTGTTTTCTTCATCTTTCACCCTCTGTGAATGTTTTCCTCAACATTCTCGACAGGGCAACTTCTGCTCTGTGTGTTCCTGTGACATT